CTGCCTATTACATAAGCAGGCTGTGGGTTTTTTTTCTCAGCCCGAGCCTGTGCGATTTGGCTATAGTCATGCAGTCAGCCAGCTTAGCTCACTCTGCTTCCCCTCACAGCAGTGACTTGGCATCCTTCCAGCCTTGTAATCTCCAATGTAGACAAAGAACAGGTGCTCTTATATATGCTCTATATACTCGCTGTATACCACCATCCCTGCACCACCATCCCTGCACCACCATGTAGCAAAGCACTGACGAGATTATGACCATAAACACAGAGGGGTAGGACTTCAATTGAGTAAAAAAATAGCATTCCAAGCGGAGTACAAAAATCCTTTTTTCTTTCGCATTCATTGAGGGGCACAGACAGTATTTAACCTTCAGGATTTTCAAAAGTAGTGATTGTTTGCTGTATTCCTCACCCCTCAGACTAACAGGCCCAAGAAAAATCAACAAAAAACTGGGGACTACCTGCCCCTCAAAGAGCAGCCTTGAGGACTTTACCCTAGAGACTCTCACAGCTTGAACTGAATCCAGCCAATGGAGGCAAATTTTATTTTAATGAGCTGGAATGAACAATGTCCTGTTGAAGAGGTAAATGGCAGAAGATACCTTTGGAAGAAGTCTTGGTCCCAAATCCCTCTTTGTCCCTATGCAAAACTAGAAAGGGTTCCTTGCAGGATAAGGCGGCTAGTTCAGAAACAGACATTGCTGAGGTTATAGCTACAAGAAATATGACCGTGGGTGACACTAGAGAGATGAATGTCTCTAGTGCATTAAAACATCAGTTTCTGAAGTGCAGAGGGAACCAGATTCAGATCCAAAGGAGTGGAATAGATGGCGGGATCTACATGGGAGCTCACTGTACAAATATCTTAAATCAAAGATTATAGGCCAACAGCCTCTGAAACAGAATAGAAAGGCCATAAACTTGATAGTGTTGAGAGCCAATCCCTGGTTAAGACCCAGCTGCAGGTAGGAGAGGATTAGGCCCACAGAGACAGGTTGAAATCCTGGGTATTAACTGTGAGACCCGCATCAAGTGATGTACGCCTTCCATGTCCAATTAAAGACCTTGTGAGAAGTAGACTTCCTACCTTTTAGCATTGTAGGAATCAGACTCAGAAATGCGCCTGTCCCTCAGGCTTCAACAGCTGTGCCATTAACGCCAGTGACCGTGAAGCAGGATGGCAAATTGGTCTTTGGGTCAGGAGATCCTGAGGATCCAGCAGAGTTGGATCACTTATTTTGATGATCCCGCAGTGTTCGATTGGAGAGAGTGGTCTACTATGGACTAGTGAGAGAGCTACTCAGACCAAGTGGATGAGGCAGTCACTGGCTGATCTGCTTTTCTTTGTGTGCACATTGTTAGGTGCACTAAGCAATGCGAGTACATTTTAAATCTGCTTTTAATTAAGTTTGCAAATGGTTTTCTGCTATATGCCACTTTTAATCTTTTTGAGTGTCTATTAAAAAATACAATGGCCACATATTTGCTTTCAGAAAGATCACTGATCCCATTTTGGAGAACAAGTGCGTTGGACCATACAAAAGTACTTTAGTTATGGACTATATGAAAAGTTGAGTAGGGTTCTAAATGTGTGAGGCACTTCATGTGGAGAAATAAAAGAAACAGGGTGTGTATACACAGTGGAGATATTTGGTGTGCATATACATGGATAACTATCTAACTATCCCTTGATGGGGATGTGACAAGTGTGCAGTGGGGCTCACACAACGGCAAGCACCTTGGTGTATACCTGAGGCTCAGATGAGCGTTCAAAGGGCATGCCCACAAACTGGTAGTGCAGAGGCCCCCATAGCAAAGCTTAGGAATCGCTGTTATGCTGGAAAGATGGGGATGTGTAGGAAAGCGTATTTGGAAGGAGATGACAGATTTGGTAGATTCCATTCAGCATTTTTAGACTTGAATGAAGACATCAAGAGCCCTGAGAGAAGAAATGGGGTGAAGGCCCCCTTGGAAACAGTCTATAGATTGGAGTAAAGCATCCAATGCTGTTCTGCCTCAGGAAGTGGAGCAATGACACATTAATCCAGAAGACCCAAAAGTACATGGGAAGCACTCCGTAGCTAACTTTTACCCAGAACAGAGTCTGGAAAGAGCCTCATTTGTAATCCAGTGCCTGAAGGTCCACAATGTGGGGTCTGGACACGCTCTAAAAGCCAGGCTGTGGATGACCGTGACTAAATAACTGCATTAAAAGAGACAAAGCTCCAACAGTGATGCAATGAAAAGTATTGATTAAAAAATAAGAAAGATGAAAAAAGTGCTAACCAAAAATAAGGTTTAAAACACAGCAGAGCTGAAAAAAAGACCTGTCCATCCTCCAAGGACACTAGCAAAAAACTGAGGTATATTGGGAGTAGGTGGGATTATTCCGGTCTCGCCTAGTTTTTATGGCAGGCTCATAAAGCTCGTTAATGGTGAGCGTTCATTGCTCAGCACCGTCAAATGACCACGCTGGCCAATGAGAAGCGTTTCTTATCCAGGGACCAGGTCCTGGAGCTAAGAAGTGCTTCCCATAGGTCAGCGTGGTCATGTGACCGTGGTGACCAATAAGCACTCTCCATTTGCGAGCATTTTAATGAGGTCTTTGTAGTAATCATACAGAAAAAGGGCCATAAAAGGCTTTAATTGGCATAATAAAACACTTCTATTCCAAATTGGCCAACTTATAATGTTATATTGAAATTCTCTTTTAGTAGAAATTGCCTAGGCCACTATAGACAAGTGACAACATTTATTCAGCCACATATGTGCCTCCCCTAGTAGAACATCTGGAATCATGAAAATTTCACAAATGCACCACAGCACACTCCTAACATGACAAAAACACACAGTGATTGATGTCATGTTGTTTTCGTAATGCCTCAGTTAACTCATCCAAACTCTTTGGTAGGGGTCATCTGCAAACTGTTACCATCGACAGAGGCTGCTATTACAAGAAGACAATATTATGGCATGTCATCGCTCTTTAAGAGTGACGCTTACATTTTATAGAAATATTAATGCAATTAAAAGAACTCTAGAAGATCTAAAATTCATGGGATCGTAATCTAGAAAATCAACAAGTAAACAAGGTGGGAGTTTTACAAGGTTATTCAGTCATCTATAGTTACATACTAAAAAGTCCAAACATTTAAAGACAATACATGACATCATTTATGCCAAAGTAATGATTACTGCAGCTTTCCTCATTGCTCTATGGTGATATCATAACTTATCATTAGTAATATCAGCACCCCGCCGACGAAGGTGTCCAAATACCATTACTGCTTCTTTCATAGTTTTTCTGTACAGTAATAATATCAAGACAGTCTGAAACAATAGAGACAATTCAGGCCCAGTCCCCAGGGGCCACATCCAGACAAAGTGCCTTTAGTTCTGCTGCAGTTTGATTGCAATAAAGCAGAAATTCCTAGAAAGGCATGACAGTAAACTACACTATTTTACCAAAAGTATTGGGACGCCTGCCTTTACACGCACATGAAATTTAATGGCATCCCAGTTTTAGTCCGTAGTGTTCAATATTGAGTTGGCCCACCCTATGTAGCTATAACAGCTTCAGCTCTTCTGGGAAGGCGTCCACAAGGTTTAGGAGTGTGTCTGTGGGAATGTTTGATCATTCTTCCAGAAGCACATTTGTGAGGTCAGGTACTGATGTTGGAGGAGAAGGCCGGGCTCGAGGTCTCTGCTCTAATTCATCCCAAAGGTGTTCTATCGGGTTGAGGTCAGATCTCTGTGCAGGCCAGTCAAGTTCCTCCACCCCAAACTCACTCATCCACGTCTTTATGGACCTTGCGTTGTACACTGGTGCGCAGTCATGTTGGAACAGGAAGGGGCCATCCCCAAACTGTTCCCACAAAGTTGGGAGCATGAAATTGTCCAAAATGTCTTGGTATGCTGATGCCTGAAGAGTTCCCTTTCGCTGGATCTAAGGGGCCAAGCCCAACCCCTGAAAAACAACCCCACACCATAATCCCCCCTCCACCAAACTTTACACTTGGCACAATGCAGTCAGGCAAGTACCATTCTCCTGGCAACCGCCAAACCCAGACACATCCATCGGATTGCCAGACAGAGAAGCGTGATTCGTCACTCCAGAGAACGCATCTCCACTGCTCTAGAGTCCAGTGGTGGCGTGCTTTACACCACTGCATCCGATACTTTGTACGATAGTATGAGAGTATTGAAGATCTCTGTTACATGACAACAGGTGACACTACATATTATAAACTACAGTGTCCTACCTCCATGGTGATGTGAAAGGCTTCCTCCATTGGCAAGAATTTCCTCTCTAGCAGCAAACTGCATTGTAACAGATACAGGGAAAAACAGATACAGGGAAAAATGCTTTATTACTGCAATATGGATGACAACAGGGAGATGCAGATAACTTATAACATGTAACACATTTTAAATGTATAAATATGAACGTTCTGTAACTCTGAACCAGGTTGGGACAATTCGGTGAACAAAATATTCAACCTAAATATGGGCATCAGAACTAACCCAGGGGCACATAGAAGTGCTCTATCTTTTCACCGCTGACATTTTCTGCACGCTGCTGTACTTTATGAGAGAATTATGGGGTAACCTTTTTTTGCCCGCTATATGGCGAGAGCAGATCCTGACAATACTGTCGAGATCCACCCCCCTGGCTGATTGACAGTGCCTTCATAGTGTCTATCTAGAGACAGAGCCAGCTGTGCCCGTCCCCGTCCGTCCCTCCAGTCAGCGCTGGAGGATTGGAAAGTGGGGGATGAATCCTTGCGAGGAGCAGTGACCGACAGTTACCGGTCTCTGCAGGGAGATTATCAGGAAGTGAGCGAGCAGTAGTATGTTTAGGCTCACTTCCCGATCAATAGAGCAAACCTTGGACAGTTTCAATGTCACATGTCGGCTCTAACTATTGGGATGAGTGTAATTAACTCACCCCATAGTTCTGCTTGAACAATGCTGCTTCCCCAACAGCTACAAGTACTTTTATTTCCTCACTTGGGTGTCCCTAAATCTATGCCTGCAAAACTGTAGTCAAGTGTGCTCACCAGCTTAAGCACCAACATCTCTGCAGCCTCACCCACACATACCGATGCAAGGAAAGGAAGGCTGTAGGTCATAACACAACAGGCTGCAGTAATTTGTTTTAGATAGATTAAAGAACTCCAGGCAAAACTTTTATTAACCAATGCAGTGGGGCTACGCCGCCGCCCCCCTCTTGTCCCACAAGGATTAAGTGCTCGTTATCTTCTAGGTGCTAAAATAAAAAAAAGTTATACTTCCCTGATCGTCAGAACCAGCTTGCTCTTAGACCGGTTTAAGAAGGTTCTACTGTTTTAAGAATGCTCTACTGTGATTTATACTGGTCAAGTGAGGGGGGGGGGGGGTTATTTTTTTAATTTATTACAGGTATTTATATAGCGCCGACAATTTGCGTAGCACTTTACATAGTTGCACATTAACATCAGTCCCTTCCCTCAAGGAGCTTACAATCTAAAGGTCCCCATCTCACATACAGTGCCAATTTTAGAAAGGAGCCAATTAACCTACCAGCATGTCTTTGGAGTGTGGGAGGAAACCGGAGTACCCGGAGGAGACACCCACGCAAGCACAGGGAGAACATGCAAACTCCTTTGCAGATAGTGATCTGGCCAGGATTCAAACCAGGGACCCCCAGTGCTGTAAGGCAGAAGCGCTAACCACTACACCAGTGCTGTGTTTGGTTCCTTGTAGCCCACCTAGCCATAACCCATCTGATTATACGGTCTTTCAAGGCACACAGTTATAAGGAAGTGCAGAAATATCAGTAGGAGAGCAGAAAGGTTTCAAATCACAGTATTAGATATAGTTAATTTGAGTCCAGCAAGTAGTCTAACAAACACATTTTAAAGATTATTTTTTTTAGAATACTGAAAACTGAAAGGAAACTTCACAGCAGGACTGTTATGCGTCATTATTATTTTGTCAGATCATGTTCTTAACTCTATGTCTGCTGAGAATTCTGAAGCAACAGACTACTTATACATTACCTCGATTTCTTCGTAGACATGCACTGGGTCACTTATGCCTCTGTAATTAAAGGCAAAGTAGAAGTATACACAGGCACCTGCATCATAGGTTTGCGTGACCCTAAAAGAAAAAAAAAAATCGACAAAAAAAATTTGTTTCAGCACATACACAGCTTAAAGATACTGTGAATGGTATGGTCTATATAGCAGTGCAGACATCATAAAAACAAACTATTCACAGTCTACTTTAAAAAAAGTGTCCCTTGACAGCTGTTCTAACCCAAACCCAACTTTATCTATTATGAACGTCACTTAAAAGTAACCTATGCTGTATATGTACCTTACCCCTTGGAACAACCTCCCCTTTCTTTCTGGTGCTTGTTCACATGACCAAATGCTGCAGGCCAAATCTACCTGAATGTGATGGCCACAAGGCCCTTCAGCTGAGGACATGACATTTGGTCACATACAGCTCCACTTTAGGAGTGAATCAGTCACGTGTAAGAAAAAAAAATACAGCATCCGGTGAAAACATTTAATTTTTATTAAAAATATCATGCTGCCATTGCCAATTAAGAAGTGGTAGAATTGAGGGCTTGTTCACACCATGTCCAGACCAGAACAGTTTGCTCCCAGACCAAAAAAGCATCCCAATGTATCCCTATGGTATCTCTGGACTCTGTTTACATCAGCGCAGTCCGTTTTGGTCCAGACAAAAAAAAAAAAATACTACTCGTCTCATTTTCTTTGGTCCAAAATGCACTGGAATGCATGGACATGCATTAAAAATGCATGCAAACATACAGGAAAGCCCATTTTAAGCCAAGGATAAATCCACACCGGAACACGGCAAAAAAGTACTCCACTGTGTTTGCAGATCTGCTCCGGACATGGTGGGAACATCGCATGGATGTCGCATAGTGCCAATACACTGCAGATAATAAAGTAGCTCGAAATGGCTGTCCCTCCCTTTATTACAAGTGCAATGCTAATCAAGCCACTTGCTTGTAAAATAAAATGTCCGAAGGAATTTTAAATAATTTAATGCCAAAGAATTCACATGTACTTCTAGGGAGCTTTCAAGAATTTTTTTTTTTTAGGATAAGTCATACTTTAAACTTGACATGCATGTACACAAAGGTCTGTGCTGACTGTGTGCTTTAAGCTTGGCAATAAATAAAAAATATCACCTATAAACATGCTGTGATAAGTTATATAGTGTGCAAGGTCGGAGGTTATCTACTATAACCTAAATTTAACAAAGAGGCATTGAACATTCCTCTGATTTTGTAGACTTTGTGAGACGATTCTAACATTTAAACATTACAGTTTTATAAAGTAAATATGAGGAGCAAAGCTCCACACATAAGATGGCAGCCATAAGTATAGATCTACTATGTAACAGGCAAGTGTGTATGCATACCCAAAATACACAAAGAGGATAAAAACAAAATCAATGCTTTCTCACATTTTCAAAAGATTAAAAGGTATAGACTTATAAAAGCACTGAATTTGACATTGACCAAACATGCTGAGCAGGTGAATCTTCCTGGTGCATGTATTTTAAAGTGACACTAAACTCAGGAGGTAAATCCTAAAAAACACCATAAAAAAGCACCTTAACTATTAACAAAAACATAACTTAATCGTGTATCACTCGGCTGTAGATCCTCAAATCATCTCTGAATTGGTGCTGACACTGTCCTTTCTTCTGGAGGGTGGCTACTTTTGTTCCCTGTGTGTTGTAAAGTAGCCACTGCTGCAAGCTCTCTTCCATGATGGACTACAATCTCATGTTTAGTTTACTTATTTATATTGAGATTGTAGTACATCACAGGAGCGAGCATGGAGCATTGTCTACTTTACAACACACATAGGGACTCCGGTGATGGACTACAATCTCAATACAAATAGCAAACAAAAAGCCTATTCGCCAAAGCACGAGTGACAAGGAGACAATGGAGGAAAGCAACTTTAGAGACAGGGGCAAAGCATTGTCATCCAATAACAGGAAGTGTCTCAACAAGGCACTTCATGGCAGGATCACCTTTCTATTTATTTTAATCAAAGCTGAAGATTTGGCAACTTTTAAAATGTAAAATCACATTAGTGTTTATATTACACTTTTTTTACTGTGTCTATGTGTGTGTGTGTGTGTATATATATATATAAAAAGCATCCTATCTGTACCTCCTTTTCCCTTTTCCAATTACAAAGTTGAACTTCCTAGTTTGGCATGTAGATCAGTTAGATCAGTCTCCCACAGTCCATGATTGTGTCAGTTCTGTCTGGGTACAAAACTGGGCCAAGTTCTCGGTCACTTGATTGGCCGAGCTGAGCATGTGCGGTCTCTTTCTGTTATAGAAATCCTGTTGATTGGCAATTTCTTTTAAAACCGAACTGCCATTTTAACACACAACAACAAAGTGACTTGTGTATGCATCCTTACTTTGATATGACCTGAGTTAATATTTCAGGTCAAGGCAAGTTATCCAATCTTCTAAGAATACCGTAAGAGGACTTCACCCCAATGATACTGCACCACATCCTTATATAGGAAACAATGTGGAAGAATATATAGTAGGGCTTTTAAGGTGCATTCTTCTAAAAAATCAAGGGGGGCAAGGAGGTACTCAACCTCAGTATCTTAATGATAGGAACCACAGTACACAGAAGTTGATTTTCCATTTTAAGAGACCTTTAATGTTACTGAGTTTTACCTAAAGCTTAAATGTCTCCTTCATTATAAATAAGATTCTATTTAGGTGTAGAGAACCAGCTATACATCAAATGTAACTGAAAACTTTTATAAAACCACAAAAACAAGGTTCCTTTAAAAAAACATCTATTTATAGAAGTGTATATAAATATCTAACTATATTTAGGTTTAAAAAATGCATTTGAACACTGTCCTCTTTCATACACGTCTATAATATGAATTTGCAGCCTCTGCCAAGACTATCAATACAGCTATTAAAAGCAGTGGCTGCCATGTAGATCAGATACCCCGAGATATACACATCCCTATAAACAGAATGCATGTAAGCATAAAGGACTCAGTATTTCCCATGCTTGTGGAATCCACTGAGCTGCAAACGAATTGCTGTCCCGCTGCATTACTCTTGCTGAAAGATTGAATGCTGCAGTAGCTATTGAATTCCAGCTGTTAAAACATATTCATAAAACTGGTAGAGAAGCAGAATTCATACATAGAATCAGTGTGTGATGTAGTTTACTGCTCCCTGACAGACTACTCATCAGCTCTTCCAAAAGGACAAGTCGACTCAGAATCAGTCATCTTTTTAAAGGAACATTAACATCGCAACCAGCTGCAAAGGATGACTTTTGAAAAAGACAGTGCCAAATATATGGTTATACCAAATACAATTAGATTATATGGAGGTCAGATGTAGTGGTGGTTAGGGGGTTAGTAAAGTAGAACTGAACAAAAATGAAGATTTGCTTTATCTAGAAATGTTATTTGCGCCTAAGCAGTACCCTGCTAAAGGTAAATACTAGAGATTTAAATTGTAAGTCCTCATGAAAAATAAGCAGTGACCTTCTTGGTATAGGAGCTGTATATCTGAAGTGTGAGATTTAAGGCACTGCTACCTCTGACTGCTAGTCTCAGGAGATTTTGTGGTGCCACTATTGCATTGCTCACAGTTTAATGAAGTCTGCATCAATCTTATTTCTGATGTGGGGGATGTCTCACGCCAGCTGCAAGCAAATACTGAATATGGCTGAATTTTAGAGAGAACTCTATTGGCTGCACCTATTTTTCATTATATCATTTGCTCATTGATAAAATAAAAATGTTAAAACTCAAGAAGTTATGTAAAAGACTGTAACTGGTATTCAACAAACACCCCACTAATCTTTAAAAAGAAAAAAAAAATCACTATTCACTTACACATATGCTAAGCACAGGCTTGTGTTTTTCTAGATGTTTGATGAGCAATCTGATTCCCAGTGGACCATATTTTGATTAAGTGCATTATTTAAAGCAACTCTTTCTTTCTTATAATGTAGCTACAGTGCTAGTGGGAATGCAATGTAGCTAAAGTGCTACCCTGAATGCAACAGAAGAACTCTCAAGTGCTTCCTCATGCCTTTCATTACATTCACAAGCATTTTGTGACCCCCGCCTAGAGCAATCTGCTATGGATAACCAATAAGGAGCGGTAGAAAGCAGGATAGGGTGAGGCAGCCAACAGCTTTCATTGGAAAACTAACATTTTGTTTCCTAGATTTCAGGAATCAGGGGTGATCATATTCATAATTGGTATGTACAGGCACCTGAGGGTGTCTATGTTACCTTCAGGCCATCACTTTAGCTTTATTATAGTGAACGAGGAATTCTCTTAAGAATCCTTAATCCATGGTTCATTTGGTGGCTTTGGCCAATAAAAATCAGTGTATAGCAACCTAAGGGTTCTTAATCAGGATACAACTGGTCAGTTACTTAAAGAGACCCTATCATCAACTTAGGAAATTGCATAAGCTTTTCTTACTTGCAGTGTTTTACTTTTCAATTGTCTATATAACCTTTTATGTAGCTTCTGGGGAATAGCAAATAGTGACAGCTTTGAGTCTGTTCTGGCTGCTGACATAACATCCAAGATGGTGGCTCCCAGCAGCCATCTCAGTCCTTTTGTATGTCTATGCAATGAAGGCATTTACAGGTAAATAATATGCATAACATATGTTAAATGCAGATATAAATCATATGGAAAGATTGTTCTTAAAATGAATGGTCTGGTGACAGGGTCTTCACATTAATAGCATGCATAGATTATACAACCATGTATACGCACATATCAGATATTGAATATTGTCCAGTGACAGAATACCATCTAATGCCTATATCAAGAATTAACACCAGTTTAAATTTGCATTAGGGGGGAAAAAATGTTGACACGGGATATTATCTCGTGTCACCTCCAAGGTGCATAGTATAATGTCAGCTATTGTAAGCTTCAGCAGGGGAAAGGGATCATAATAAAATCTAAACAAGAACTGGAAAAGCAGAAGAAACATGACTGTGGATTTTCCACACAATGCTGTTTAATTTAATGTACTATGAAAGTACAAAGAGCATAATATATGGAGTTTCACAGCTAAAAATAACGTGTGCTTATTTGGACATGAACACCAAGATCTGCAGTGTAAAACTATCCTGTGTGCTTTATTCATTCCTGGCCAAAAATATCCTGGGAACATATAAAAAAATGTCTATGTTGGCTCAGCCATCTGTGAATGTTCTACCACTGTGATGCCCATGGATTTGCATGATGAGCATAAACAATGTTACAGCAATGTTTATATCATCTTTGAAGATGGTGTTACATGCTAGAAGCTAATAAAACTTCTAGGAAAGTTGGGTCCAGAAGTAGTTTTAGAAAGTTGCATAAATGCTGAATGTTACAAAGTGGACATCCATTGTTCACTAGATTACTGCAAAAGCAGGGTTTGCAAGACTACGAAGAGAGACTGCCATAGCCTGACACATCATGGATATGTGGTTAAGAGCGCCTCTTAATTTTTTTTATCTCGCTTAAAAGTTTGTTTAGGTCATTTATTTGAAAGGAAATATCAGATACAGCCAACGCATTTCAGAGAAAATGACAAAGCAAACCTAACCCACAGCCCAATCTATTATAAGTAAATCATCAAACTGGAATTCCAATTTTATAAGTTGATGTGCATGAGGGGTGTGTGTAAGCTTATGAGAGGGAGTGTGCTCATTGTGGGGGTTGCCAGTGTGATATTTGTTGGCGGTGGAAAGAGCAGGCTAACAAGGCTGTGGCATACAGTCTGTAGATCTGCAGCCTCTAAGAAATGTGGTCACCCTCTTAACTGTCAGGTATATGGCACATGAGGGTTAGGTGGATCAAAAGCGTATGTCAATATTTCACAAGCCTTCATTTAAATGCCCTTTTTACTTACCTAAATCAGCAGTCACGTGATGCTCCAGTCCTGAGTCTTTTCTCTTCTACTTTTACAGGAGGCAGGGTCTTTCTTCGGGTGTCCATATCGCTGCATGTGTGACATGGACACTTCCTATTGACTATACAGCAGTGGGGCCCTCTAAGGGTCCAGAAAAGCCAAATGCAATGGTGACATCAGCATGCAGGAACTGGCTATCGCCGGCACATAATACAATAAACCATACCAATTTGGAACCATATCACTTTCAGTCAGAAAATTATATAGTGCCTTAAAAGTACCATGACCTGTGTGGAGAAATTGAGTGTTTCTTTTTGGTTGTGGACACTAACCCTCCTTAAAGTATCGCTGAACCAGGAGAAAAATACAAAATCACAACACAATGGGAACTTTCAAAGGATCGGCCTGCTAAAGTTAAAGTGAGGGTACTGACATGGCTGACTTGTGCTAAAGGTGCAGGCCAAATTTCTTTGCACATAATTACAATGCATGAGTAAAACAATCAGCCCAAAAAATATTTTGCTTGCGTGTGGCCATCATATGGGGCTAAAAGTTTACGCAAAGCGCCTAACAAACCAGTTTTCCGATAGCAGTGCAGAAGCAAGATTTACATCTGTCCACGCTGCTGGAGGAACCCACAACGAAGGATAATCAACCCAAGCCTGACCATAAACGTGTAATGACAAACCAGAGAATATGTTTGACATTTTTGTGTGAAAGAATTTGGTTTACAATTCAAGCTTTGTTTTTGTTAGCACTGCCGCATGAAGATATATGCCCTGCAATTATCTCGACTGGAGAGAATAGATAATAGAGACACATTTGCAACGCACCACCAAGAAAGTTTTAAGGGCATTTCCTCAGATGTTGAGGATTTTAAGAGATCTGTTATTCATCTTTTTACCACATCCTTCAATTATTTTGTTAAGTTCTAAATATAATCTACAATTCTGTTTACAGCTTTGGAAGTTTTTAACAACCCAAACTGCTAACAATTTAATCTAGCTCAATCGAGTAAAAAATAACACGTCAAAGAGAGATAAAAATGTAACTCAGCTTGTATAAAACAAAAAATAAAACTCCCAACAGTTCTTTTCTTGAGTGGTTCTTTCCAATTTTAAACTCATAAAGTGCTGGTCGTAGGAATTAACGACCACGCAATAATAGTTTATTTATATTATGTTCGTCAAACGGTCTTTATTCGTTTAAAAATTTCCATCATGAAACCTTGATGCGATTTTTATTCGGTTTCAATCGCAATCAATGTACTGACTTTTACAAAGGTTAAGCACTCCAATCAATCAATCTTACTCTAGCCTGGCTGAGATGATAAAACCTCAGATGACTAACCAAGAGCAGCTATGTTTCCTCTAGTGTTATAGTATTAAGATGTCCTTTCGTCATAAAATCATGCAGTGAAGGCACTAAACTGTAATGCTGTCTTATATGCAAGAATTACACAATTAGGGATCCATGATGCGTAACAAACTTTCAATAAGAATAGTGTAGGAGATGTTCTGACAAGGCAGACGTTGACATACCTGCACGTTGATAGTGGTGGAAACTGAACACCTTTTTCTTTGCATTCTCGAACAATTCTCTCTTTGACATTTCGACAAAGATCTAGCACCCTACAATACAGAAATGAGCATTCACAACTATGTAGAGCAAAAAAGTAGAAGAATGGTTATTTCCCACCCAGAATTTTCACTTTGCAAAATAACTTTGTAGACGTGTTAGCAGTAGTTTTAGACTGACGTATTCAGCTAGAGGTGGCTCAATATCAAAGAAAAATATTTGGCTGTGGATTTAAGCCTTATTCCAGACAATGTTATTTTTAATTTTCTAAAGAGTGTCCTTTATTTTGGGGGATCTTCCCTCACTTCTACCTTTGATGTCCGTAAAAGAATAGGGGGCTCAGTTGTCCCCAGGACAGGAAGGTACAGACCGCAACAAAAAAATATATGCATACATACACAAACAGTATTTCCATTTGGTTTCAGATTCGTTAAGGGGAGTATATACAAACTGCAGTCAAAAATCTCAATGGTATGGACTGGTGCTAAATACAACAAAGGTAACATAGATGAAGTCATCCCTCTGCTCTCCCTTTCTTAAGAAGTTTCAGCATGAGATGGAAAACAGTTTGGAGTACAGATGTACTTTGGATTACCGATTCACTGCGTTGTCTTTCCCCTTTCATTGAACTGGCAATATTTACAGCAGGATGATATTGAGACATAATAACATACTTATGCTAGCTGTACTATAAGTGAAATAAATCTAATGATCGTCCTACATGAAATAATTTTTTTTTTACATTTTCACTAAGACTCTGGTTTTAATTACAAGTACATTCACAGTATCTAATCAAAGCAGTGTTTATACAGTGATTCTAAAGTTTGCAAACAAATGACCGCACGCTGTCAGGAGCAGTGTTTTTCAGGGATAGAAACATGGATAGAGAGAAGCCATTAGGTCATTAGTTTTACTCAAGCACAGCCTGCCAATATATGCAAAGTCTTACCTATCCCATGGAACGGAGGTTTCAAATGACTCTCCTATCAAATAATAATCCATGCCAAGATCCTACAAATATATAATAACAAACATATTCTTATGAAATGGTCAGCAATATGAAAGAAAATTATTAATTACTTACAGCTCGCTTTTAAGACAATACTGGTATCAATATCTACATAAAGATTTAGTAAAGAGTAACATTTAGTTTAATTCAAAGTTGTCCCTGAGGAAAAAATTGGCCCTACTCACAAAGATCACACAATCTGCAACAATCTTGAGCTGGTCTGTTCTTTCTTTGTTCACGCAGACTACATTATATGCTTATTATTGTCAATTGGAAAGAAGACAACCTTTAGGCCACGACTAAAGGTTGCTGGACAAAAAAAAAATGTATATATATATATTTTTTCTTTCTAAGGGCCATCCATTGGCTGCGTGCATCAGCTTTAACTTGTACCAAATATGATTATCAGCTGGTAAAAATATAAAAAGAAGGGAGTGAGAGGTAAGTGGGTTGCACCGTGTCCCTAATCTGCATTGCAAACAACAAAAACAACTACAAAATAGTCTGGGGCTTTTAAGGTTCCACAATTAATACAATTTCATGTATCATTATGTATTTTAATCAAGTAGATTTAAAAAAAATACTAATTTTATTAGTACGAATATTTAAAAAACATATATTTAAAAGCATTTTGGCCATTACAGAGACCAATTATACTAAACAAGTGTGGGACAAGAGTAACATAAATATATCTTGGCCAAAGTCTTCCAGCTTGGACAGCTTCAGACAGGGACAGCAACATTTGTTGTCTATCCCAGATGTGAATGAGAGGGCAGCATCAATCCACAAACTATTTCTCCTCAGGAAAAAGCTTGTCATTTCTAATGATGGACGCCAAGGGACAACATAGGAGGATCGGAGGGAGACTTTCTGGGAGACTTTTTTCTGAGGAAAAATAGTTTGTGGATTGATGCCATCCTCTCATTCACATCTGAGATGGACAACAAAGTTTGACTGCATTTGAGGATACCTCTGCTGTCCCTGTATCAATTCATATTGGGTTTGCTTTTTGAATTCAATGATCTTCATTAATGCTCCTCAAGAAGCACTTGCATGTGAAACGCATTGAGCCTATTATTATTTACAGCCTGTCCAAGCTGGAAGACTTTGGCCAAAATATGTATATGTTACTCTTCTTCTATGCTTATGTATAACTGGTCTCTGTAATGGCCAAATGCTTTCACAAAAAATATGTTTTAAATATTTGCATTAATAAAATTATTATTTTTTTAATCTAAAATACATGAAATTGTTCTTATTGTGGCACCTTAAAAGCCCCGGACTCTTTTGTAGTTGTTTTTGTTGTTTGCAATGATTATCAGCAGATCAAGACTTATCTGGAAAACATCCTATGTTTGAGTACAATAAAGGGAACCCTATACAGGAAATGTTAGCCATTTGGTATAAAATAATTTCAACTAAGTCACAAATAAAAACTAAACCTGTATCCCTTTTGAGAGAATATTGATATTCTATGGACTAGAAACAAAGCTGCTACTTCACTGCTTAGTCAGGAAGTACTTGCTATGAACTTTTAACATTGTTAAAGGAGAACTATGGGGTCAGTGTTTTTCCCCATAGTTCTCCTTAGGGTAACGGGAGGACACAAACTAGCGTCCTCCCGTTACCCTAAGCTCAGTATACCGCGAGCTACAGCTCGCGGTATACTGAGACGCTGCAGCCAGAGCGGATCCTGACTTAGATGACGGGATCCGCCCAGCTGCGTGAGTGTCAGCTGGCTCTGCCTATCTAGAGGCAGAGCCAGCTGTACCCGCCACCTCCCCCGTCCGTTCCGCCAGTCAGCGCTGGCAGATCGGAGCGGGGAGAGGGGAATCCAGCCCCTCCCCCTGTCACGGCAGAGAGCCATGACAGGATCGAGAGGTGAGGGAACCCGGTATGTTTTCTGTTTTCCCTCACCTCCCGATCTACTGAGCCGACCTGTGACAGTCTCATTGTCACAGGTCGGCTAGAACTATGAGGTGAGTGGAAATCACTCATCTCATAGTTCTCCTTTAAATCTGATCAATAAATGTGCATCTCATTTAAAAAACAAGAACCATGAAGAAACATCTGTGTGCCAGTAAAGTGGTAACTCAAATGCTAAAGCTGTGCCAATGTTAGAAATGTCTCTCCATTTACTTTAAAGTTCCTTTTAGTTTTGAATACAAATGAGGAAAAGCTAAAACTTCTGTCAGCTTATTTCCACAAAGCCTATTGCAGCATCGCTCACTTGACTCACTTGGTCAATTCCAGCTCCAGTTTTTTTTATTTCTGCCTGTGACTCGATTGATGTTCATTCACTTCCTATCCAGATGACACCCATATAAGAAATGGGAGAGCAGTTGTTACAGGGACAAGAAGGCACAGACCACCATCAAAACGCTGTAAGAAGTTATAACCCTTGCCCACTCTACTAAAAATGTGTTTTTCTTTGTCCATGTCCCCAGTCGTGAGATTTCTGTCCTGACAGCAAGTCTTGGTTGGAGTTTAATCCGAGGTATCTAATCTACTGCATCCAAGCACAAACTGCTCTATGAAGAGGAGGGAAGTAAGACTGTAGTTCCTGAAGCCTGTGCTGTGTAACTTCCTCTCTCTTTGCTTCTTGCATCACTAATCACATTCAAACTGTCAGATAAACTGAATCTCTAAGCAAGTAGGTAATTCCTGGGTTTCATTTTCTATTCTGACAGAAGTCAACCAATGAAGAAGCCACCACCATGTACCTAAATACTCCATTCTAACAGTTTTGTGTGGCTTAGCCTTTAGGAAGTTTGGCAATATATATTGTTTTTACCTAAGAAGAAATAACTCCCAAAAGTTGGCCGCCAGTCATATTTTATGTACAGTAGCTTCTTGGTAGCTACATTTTTCCAGGCCTTGAGCAGTGCCAATCACATTTAGAAATGGTTTTGTGATATTATTTTCATGAATAGAACACCAAGTCCTTCCTGAATACATGGCACTAGAAACCACTTGAATGGAGGCTGTCCAATTTATTGTTGACTGGATAAGTAGCAAATAACACACTGCCTTTTCTATTGATCGCTTTCATATCTAAACCCAGCAACATCTGCACCCCCTGAACTAATAAGCCTTTATGTGAATTCTATTGGAAGGGGAGAGAACTTGCACAGAAAATGACAGCATGTTCTCGAAGAGAAAAGCAAAGATGTGCAACACATTTAAAAGGCCTCCTTTATAAAGCGCTCAACATTCTCTGGGGTCAGAATATGTCAATATCCACATTGATGAGCAGACAAAGAGAAGAGGAAAAGAAGGGTGACCTACCCGAAGGTAAGCAATGACAAATGTCAGCATGTAACCTCTCTGGCCATTATCTTCGCCTGCTGCTAGGCCTCTGCAATTGTAAAGATGGTCAATGATTAACTGGGTATTTATGCACAATCGTTACATGCTGCTCTATAGTATTTCAATTGAATAAAAACACACAAACACATTTACAAAGCTTAAAACAATGACGTCTGGCTGGAAAAAATGTATGCTATTAATACAATGTAACAATTTAATTACAATTCCAAATGCTGTGCTTTTAATTGCAATTGTGGATAATTTGTCTTGTTTCTGGCTTAGATAAATTATTCAGACCTGCCAACATTTTGCACAATTATACAGCTAGGAAGAGGAACAGTTTGTCTGATCATCTTTTTTACATTAAATTCTATGATTCTTGGCAGTAGTGGCATGGCTTGAGGCTAAGCCAAAATAAAGCATGTGTTAAAACATATATAAACCTTAAAACTAAAATGCTGACTTGCAATGACACAGGTTATTCACTCTATAAACAGACTTCTAAAGTTTTAAAAGCAGCAAAGAGGAAGGCAAGCAAAGTGTTTATATATATATATATTACACATACACACACACACACTGTATATTGGAATGTATGGGTAATTATACTTTAGCATTTATTTTAAAACAGAGTTCCCTCATTTGGTACAGGTATTTAGGACCCATTCACAGTAAACACATTACATGCATTGTTGCAATGTGGTGCTATTCTGTAAGACACCCCAAAGCACCCTTGCAGTGTAGCAATGCAATAATGTGTGTTGCAGTGCGTTGTTAAAAATACTACATGCACCCTTATTGGTATGTTTTTTTGCGTTGGGCAGCCCATTCATTTCCTAACACAGCGCAAGATAAGCCATGTGCATTAAACACACTGCTAAGATGTGAATGTGCGCTAAAGGGGAACAATAATTAAATTATACTTAAAGCAGGTATTACATAAAAAATGCAAGACCGGCTTATCCTTCGGACGTCCCCCATGGAATACTATATAAATATAATCAAACTTAAAGCTGACCTTTACCCATATGTTGAAATAACTACAAACACACCTTTCGAAATGTTTAGTAATGACAATCTACAAAACACATACTTCTAGATAATTGCCGGCTTTGTATTCTTTGCATACTTTATTTCTCTTTTCTTCCCCAGTCGTCTGGCAGTGGCCATGTTAACTAAGGGCAAATTACTAGCTCTCCTATTACTTCCTGAAAATCTGGCACATGTGACCAGGACATGTGACCATCCACATCCCCTCAGGGGAGGAAAATGCCTTTCTCTGAGATTAGAATTCCCAACAATGCTCTGCTGATGTAACCTTCCCAGGATGCAACGCTTTGGCCCCTGCATAATCTTTCCAGAGTAGATTAACTCTATTTGTAAGTAAATGAAAAACAAGATGATCTAAAATCAACATGCAAAGCTACAAACTGCGGTGAATTTTAGTGAAAGGGGGTAAAGGTTCGCTTTGAGGAGAAAAGTGAAATATATACTTTGCACTTTGAATTCTGGCACCTAAGGTAATGTTACTGGTCTTTCTGTGAGATCCTGGGAAAGTGGAGGATCTCAAAGGATCAGGAGAAGACTAGCACAGTGCAAGAATGGGATTTGGGAACATCAGCTTTCCCAGGAAATTGCAGGACGGTCAGGGACATTACCGACTACTAGGAGTCAAGGAGAAAAGAAAGTACATTTTTCACTTTTTCCCTAATGTGTGATTTTTTTTTTTTTTCCAAATGCTTAATTGCACATTTTTACATAAGGAATCAAAAGAATAAGCCAACCTTCCATTACGTTGCAAGGTCTGCTTCAAAAACTACCTATTTAGGGCTTGTTCACACCAAGTACAGAGCAGATGCAGAGCAGTTACAGAATGCATCCAATGTATTCCAATGGCATTTTGGGCTCTAGTTCACAGAGCATGTAGAAAAACTGCAGCATGCCCTGTTTTGTCTGCTCTGTAACGCACCAAAACGCATAAAAAATGCATGCAAATGCCCTGCAATGCAGTAAAAGCCCATTTTAGGCTAAAACAAAACCGGCCCGGAACGCATCAAAAACGTGGCAAAACACACTGCACTGCATGTGCAGAAACTCATGCAGATCTGGTCTGCATTTGGTGTGAACAAGCCCTCAAGTAAGCATGTAAGGTAATGTAAGTAACAGTGGAGCCCCATAACCTAGCTAATTGATTATACAACTACAGACAACAAGGAAATCATCCATCTGGTCCGTCTCTTCCAAGGCATCAGAGGCAGCATATAATGCAGGGCTTCAATGACCAAAAGTGGCAGGATTTATGGGGATCCCTTTTTCCCCATGACCTGTGTGTGGCCATTTCTCAACATGACATTGCTGAGCACTGCAAAAACACATATGTTCCAAGTAGAAACGCTTCTTTATATGCATGCTAGTCTGTTATGATGATGGCAATGGTGTGGGTGGGCAAAGACACAAGCCTTCTACTGACTCCTGGCAATACATTACTCTGAATATATCTAGTTGCGCAGATCAGCTCATCTGTATGATAATGGTCAGAAACAGTGGCGGACCTAATAACCAAAGGGTCCCTGGTGCAAGATTTTATCTTTCCTGGTCAGATGCCCTGCTCCTGCAAAGCCCACACTGGATGAACAGGATAGTGCCGCTTGCTGTCCACAGTGACAGCCCTGGAGCCTCCATGCTGCCCGGTGCTGCAGCATCTACCTTGATCGATCTGCCCTGCCAGCTTGCTTGGGAAAGCCGCGGACGGGTCGCATCTCACTCGGCACAACATAGCCCCGCCTCCGGTCCCGCCTCGGCCCCTCCTCTTCCACCACCTGACCGTTCTCTCTGTGCGGCCCAGCTCGCCGCAAGGACCGCAACCGCTTCCCTCACCCCATCAGGGCCCTCAGGCGGCCGCTTGCCTTGCGGTAGTGCCCGGTACTTTTGATCGATCACCGGCCTGGCTGTGGGGGTGCCCTGGACCTTACCCCACTGGGCCCCCCAACAGCCTCAGGCCCCGGGCCCTCGCACCGGCGGTAGTTCCGCCACTGGTCAGAAAGCAGGTAGCTCAGCTTCAGTAACCAAGACAAAATAGGAGGAGGTCCTGGAGTTCCTCTTTAAAGAGAGTGAACCTCTCTATGTGATACAGTAATCCCACTGTCAGTGTGGCTCATAAAAATGTGGGTTGTGTTATATGCCAAGGCTACTTTTTATAGCCACTTGGGCACGGAGCGGGGATAGAGAACTGTCTGGACTCCAGATATTTACATCACACTTTTATGATGCTTAACTACAAGAACATATTGCTTATATTCAACCTGAGAACCTGAAGAGTGATAGCAAAAGAAGAAGACCTAGTGGTCCATCAAGTTTGCCCCTTAATTGATTTTTTTTCTTTTCCTGTGAGCACACCCTTTTTGGGCTGTTTTTTTTTTTTGCCTACAGCTGTTGGTTGAGTCACTGTTCAGTCTAAAAGATCATGCACAATCCCAATACAATATACACAGAGATTAACACACTCTATACGGAGGAACAACTGACCAAATTGGTTAACAAAATAAATGGTTGGGAAATAAAACAAACATGTCTGGGTACAAAACCAGTCTTTCTAACAAAGTCTTTCTCTGTGTATTTACCAAATCACTGCTCCCTGCAGGGATTACCCTCCTCCCCTCTCCGATCCTCCAGCACTGACTGGAGGAACGGATGGGGGAGGGGGCGGGTACAGCTGGCTCTGCCTCTAGATAGGCAGAGCCAGCTGTCCCTCACGCAGCTGGGTGGATCTCGACAGCATTGTCAGGATCCGCCCCGGTTGCGGCGGTTTTTTAGTATACTGCGAGCTGTATACTGATCGCAATATACTGAGCTTTGGGTCACGGGAGGACGCTAGTATATGTCCTCCCGTGACCCTTAGGAGAACTATGGGGAAAACATCCCATAGTTCTCTTAAGTAATTCTTACAGGTCTTGTTCCTCTCCAAGTCTGCCAATGGACAGCTAAAGGAGATGCAACAGACTGATAAGCTTATCACTCTGTTCCCCCTTCCTATCAACACAAGCACATGATCACTGCCCTTTTTGATAACTCACAGTCTGAGCTCTGCTGTTCAGGGACTGCAATAGACTAAATCCAAGTTAAAATGTAGGTACTTGCACTGCTTGCATTTAAAAAATACATTCAATTATCATTATAAACCTGAAATAATTTGTGTATTTTATATGTGATTGGAGTTCGGCTTTAAAGTATCTCTAGCCAAAACCTTTAATTGAATGTTTTGTATAAGGTATGGAGGGTTAGAACTTTCAGATTTTTATTGTGCAGAGATTCACCAAAAAGGTTAGGGATGCAAATGAGATTTTTAGTAGGGTTGCAAGAGGGGATATGCCCACCTTTTGGAGAGATCTCTCCTCACTTCCAACTTTCCATATTGTCTCCAGAAAAGGAGGCAATGGAAAACATCTCCCAATAGGACAAACACCAACGCCGCCCCCCCACACCCACACAACATTG